ACGTGTTATCGACCCGAAGGCTTACTTATTAGATCCGACAGTCTCCACTGCAAAGCATTTCTCCTCCAGATTACAACGAGGCCAATTCACGAATCCCTTCTGACCAACTTTCCTTCAAAATGGAAAGTTGAGTCATCAAATTCCTCAATGTTTGCTTCAGCGACAATATCGGCCGGTCCGAATATATCTAATGAAGAGCTTTTAGTGGCAATATAACCTTTAATGTAATTAGTAAATATAGGCGCTTTCATAACATGAGAAATGTTTAAAAATATCACCAGATCCATGTAGAAATAACTGTAACCTGAGGTCGCTTTAACTGATAGGCCTGATAGTTGATCAGGCCACAATGAAATAAGGTTTCGCTATTTCAGGGAATTTTATTTTTATTTTTCTTCCAAAAGGCTTTATTATCCAAGGTGGAGTAAACTTAACTGCTTCCACTGGATCTCCCCAGAACATTCCGAGGAATTCTAAAGCGGGTTATGGGTATCAAATAGCAATATATTGTGGGTCACATTGCTCACATGCAGGTTAGTTACAGAGAAATATGACCTACTAAATAGGTCAATAAAATTCACATTAAAGACGAGACAGTCGTTGATAAGACAGTCTCTTATTGTTCATTTATAAGAAGGTTTTCGAGACTACGAGTAGATCATATATATGGGATATACCCACCCTATTTCATTTAATGTGATAAGGGGATTGAATTTTCCTACAGTGATATGAGTAGACCTTATATTTCCCCTGAATTTCCCATAACCATATATTCCAAAAAGGTATTCTTAATTTCTGGGGAAGCAAGGCAATGTAAAATTTACTAGAAACGTAGGCTCTACTTAGCTAATTGTGGGGAAATTCAACTACCATTTCCCTTATCACCTTAAACAAAATAGGATGAATACCTCCCATATTTAGCCTTTTATTTGACTTGACACTGTGACAAGAAGCTGGCAAAAATAATGTTACAAACTATCAATAGATTTATATAATGAGAAGTACAGTTTTCTTATAAACAGCTTAAATATTAGCAATTTAATCACACGAAGCGGATTTACCATAACCTAATGATCAAATTGGAAGTTAGTCCCTATTGCAAAATCGAAACAACCAGGAGAAATAGAGCCGTGAGGCAGTGGAATCCTTCTATCCTCACATCTTTTAATCACGAGCCATATATTTCTTTGTATTATTTTTTTCAACTATCCACATTCAGGACACATTCGAGTTTGCTTTCCATGCATATTCCCAGAAAGCAATAACGGTTAGCCTCTTATGAGTATGCTTGTAAGTATCTAGATTTTTGGTCTGAGAGCAACATCGTGAATTATTCTTGCGTATGATTTAGTTCTGAAGAACCTTTTCTTAGAATCTTCTGGAAGCGAATAACCTCTACATCCAGGAGTTGTAACTGTCTGTTCTCTTCTACCTCTGGCTTGAATTTGACTTTTTCATCAACACCGTTTTTCATACTTCCAGATTGCGAAGTAGCAATCCAGACATCGAATTATTCGTATTAATTTCTGAGGTAACGCTTTGAAATCCTCCCTTGTCTTTTTCACCTAGACTTTGATTAACAGTAAAGAATATTGAAACCATGAGACAAAATATCCTTTTATAGATGCAACCGTTCGAAGTGGTCGCTTAATAGCCCTATCGCACTGTCCTGGCAATTAATATCTGCAAGACACAGGCTCCTTATTACCATGGTTTTCAGTACTCTTATTTTAGCTAATTGAGTATGATTGGAAAAAAATATGAAAGTTGCGAGTACAATAAATCGCAATTTCATCCGCTAACACTGCAGGACAATAAGTAAAAGTGATTTAGCTAGGGATGCAGCTGTCTTGTCACAAGTTTATCCACTTTCCTATAATCACGGATTTATCGGTATCGTGGGACGGCTTGTCGAGGGACATATCTGCAGTCAAATCTCTAAAACTCGCCTTTGAAAACATCCATCTGTTGAGGGATTATTTGAAAACTAGCTTCTCATTATAGTTGATGGAGATAGAGGCAGAACGGTTTCTTAAATCTGTATAATTTAGTTGGGAATACAGATAATTATTAAAAAATAAGTAGTCTTAGGAACAAAACACAGGTATATTCTTACCTAGAAGAGTGTATGGTTTCAGAGAAACTGACGCGAGGTAGAAGATCACGATCAGCAGCTAGATTGAGCAGCAACAGGCGCTCAGGAGTAATGGCCAAAAATGCAGCCTCCAAGTCGGTGATGCACTGAGCGGCAAAATGATCACCGTTTCTGATTCTAAAATTATACAGATCAAGCACAAGAATATTAACTGTAACAGAGAAACTTGCTCCAATTATTTGTTGTCTTCGGGCAGCCTATTGTATCTCAGGCCTTAATTTCCATGAAGATAGAATCAAAACAATATAAAAAATAAATATTTAAAGGCTTAGCTGAGTGCCAAGAAGTAGTCATTATGGTAAAACTAAGGAAGGCATTTGAAGAGCCAGAGACAAAGAAGAAGGGATAAAGTGGATAAATAAGAAACCTCATTATCGTTGTTGTGAAGACGAAGAGTGTATTTACTCTGACCGCAGTCTCCTTATGCTACTTAGAAGTGGTTTCACATGTTTGCATGAGAAGCCATCTTTAGTTATGCATCAAAAACAAATATATATATATATATATATGAAAATCATTATCTGAAATTTGGTTGCCTATGGACCTTTGATTCCCCATTTACGTCATATTTAAGGATTTAGAACCGGTGATTCTCATACCTAGACATCTTCCCTTTATGATCTAGACGAGTGATTCCCAAACTGGCGCCCCTGGGAGGCGCGACCTCTTTACAAAGGCGCCGCAAAATATTGTAAGAGCTTCTATTTGAGAAAATGTGCAGTGATTTGCAGGCTCATCCATCACATTAATTATTAAATATTAATTTAATGTTAATAGAGTAAAAGTAAGGATACAAGAGTTTTATTTATTTTTATCACTTACTTACGAATATTCATACTTAGGGTATAGTGCCATGGAAAAATTTTAATTGAAAAAGGGCTCCGCAACTAGGAAAAGTTAAGGAACCAGTGATCTAGACCAATGGCCCAGTTATCCTCTTTCTCATCGTCTTATTCTCTGGGGCTAGATTAGGAACCGCTGGTGTAAAAAGTGACAGCATACAACTCTATATCACATGGTATAGTGCAAGCGTTTTATATTTAAGAGAAGGCTTCTGTACTACTGGAACATAAAAATATTAAGGATAGTTATATAACCACCTTAACATGAAAAAACAACCTTGTTAATTTTTGCAGAATAGGCAAATTACTTTTAATAATATGAGATGTATTCACCCAATTTCGTTAAAGGTGATGAAGGACTGGTAGAAGGAGAATTTTACTACAATGCTATCAATTGAGCTGACGTTTCCATTGAATTTCACATAGCCTTGCTTTCCCAAAAGTTGTTCTCATCCAGACAAAAGTGGACTGCAGTTTCAACCTCGCATCGGTCTTATCAACAACCTCAGCGGGAGTGGAACCGCGACAATGCAGGATGGGAGCTTGACATGCTAGCCACTCTGCTACACTGCCACGAGCGCCTTTTAGGTCACAGGGCAAATGTGAATTGTCAAGGAAGGCCAGGCCTTTTTGCCATATCATATTATTTTGGTGGAATTGTCGATGAAGCAAACGTATATCTAAGGTATGAAGACCAAGATAATGTGGCCTTTTGTGTGGTCGCAGTCTCCTTTAGTTGTAGAGAGGTTGTTTGACCTTGTTTTCGCAACATGGTCATATTGGTAGGAAGACTAATTGGAACGCACCTAGTCCTGGGTCCATTGTCTGCATGATT